GGTTCAGAAGTAACATTCCTCAACAAAATAAAAACAATATATGAAAAACCCAAAGCCAGTATCATATTGAATAAGGAAAAATTAGAAACACTTCCATGAAGATGGGGAACCAGACAAGGATGCCCACTTTCACCACTGCTGTTCAATAAACTTTTGGAAGTTTTAACCAGAGCCATTAGGCAAGAAAAATAAATCAAAGGGATATAAATTAGAAAGGAGGAAGTCAAATGACCTCCATTTTCAGATGACATGATTCTACACATAAGGAAACCAAATAACTCCACTAAGAGACTACTGGAACTCATAAGAGTTATGAGTTACCAAACTCTGTTATGGTAAAGTGGCTAGATACAGAAGCAACACACAAAAATCAATAGCCTCTGGATATACAGACAATGCAATAACTGAGAACGAACTTGAGAGATCAATCCCATTCACAATAGCTGCAAAAATTTAAATACCTTGGAATACATTTAACCAAGGATGTAAAAGAGCTCTACAATGAAATTTACGAAACATTAAAGAAGAAATAGAAAACACAAAAATATGGAAAAATCTTCCATGTTTGTGGATTGGAAACAATAATTTGAAAATAAATCTACTATATACCCAGCCATCCCACTCCTGAGAATTTACCCTAACAAATGAAAACAGCATACAAGTGAGTTTTTTTCTACCCCCATGTTCACTCCAGCTCAACTCACAAATCTAAGATATGGAATCAACCCACTTGAACATTAACTGATGAATGGATAAAGAAAGTGGGAGCTGGTACAATGGTGTAGAAGGTTAAGCCTCCATCTGCAGTGTGGGCATCCCATATGAGTGCTGGTTCGTGTCCTAGCTGAATCTCTTCTGATCCAGCTCCCTGCTAATGTGCCTGGGAAAGCAGCAGAGGATGGTCCAAGTCCTTAGGCCCCTGAAACAATGTGGGAAACTGGAAGAAGCTCCTGGCTCCAGGCTTCGGATCAGCCCAGCCACTGCAGCCATTTTGGGAAGTCAATCAGTGGATGAAAGATCAATTTCTTTCTCTCTCTCTCTCTTTCTGCCTTTCAAATACATAAATCTTAAAAAACTAAAAAAGGAAAATGTGGTATTTATACACTATGGAATACTATTCAGCCATAAAGAAGAGTGAAATCCTGTTTTTTGCAACAAAATGAATGTAACTGGAAATCATTATGTTTAGTGAGATAAGCCAGTCTCAAAAAGACAAATACCACATGTTTTCTCTAATAATGTGGCAGTTAATACAGAATGCAAAGAAAGTATAGGAATGAAGCAGACATTTTGTGATATGACTGTTGTTTTTTTTTTTGTTTTTTTTTTTTTTTGACAGGCAGAGTGGACAGTAAGAGAGAGAGACAGAGAGAAAGGTCTTCCTTTTGCTGCTGGTTCACCCTCCAATGGCCGCCGCGGCCGGCACGCTGCGGCCGGCGCACCGCGCTGATCCGATGGCAGGAGCCAGGAGCCAGGTGCTTCTCCTGGTCTCCCATGGGGTGCAGGGCCCAAGCACTTGGGCCATCCTCCACTGCACTCCCTGGCCACAGCAGAGAGCTGGCCTGGAAGAGGGGCAACCGGGACAGAACCCGGTGTGCCGGTGCCGCTAGGCAGAGGATTAGCCTAGTGAGCCGCGGCGCCGGCCATGACTGTTGTTTTTAACCCTTGTTTAACCCTGTAGAACTGTGGTCCTCCTTTTTACTTGTTGACTATTATGGTTTGTGATACTATTATGGTTTGTGACATTCACATTAAGCCTGTGAATATAGAAGAGATCAAAATTATGTCTCTGCAAAAACTGATACAAGGAAGAGAGGGGAGAGAGTAGGGATTTGTGAGGGAGGGAGTGTGGTGGCCTTTTTGGAACTGTATCTATGGAATGCATGAAATCTGTTCTCTTTATATTAATTTTTAAAAAGGTAAGTAAAAAAGAAAAATGTTATCTCAAAAATAATAAATTAAATATATTTTTAAAAAAAGAATACACTGAATACTTAAAAATTAGTGTTAGATGCTGTTTTAAGCAACAGGAATAAAAATCAAGTAAGACATTCATGAAACAAATTTTTATCAAGCAGCACAACAAATATGTCTGAGCAACATCTACTCACCAGTCACCATGTTGAGACTGCACAAAATTTCTACACTTGCATAGTTCTCAATTTAATGTTTACATATTAAATTGAATTTTAATTGGCAATATACAACGGAATCTTGCAACCAATAAACATGATATATCCTTTCATTTCTTTCATTTCATTGACCTCAACTATATTTTATAATTTTCATATAGATACTTGTGCATCTTATTTTAGATTTATTACTAGGCATTTGATGCTTTGATTGTACTATGAAGTTTTAAACTTCATCAATCATCAGGGAAATGCACATTAAGCCCATAATAAAATGCCTTATACTACGAGACAAAAAGTGGCAATCAAGTATTTGTGAAGCAGTGAAGAGACAGTAAGTCTTAGACACTGCTGAGGAAACTTAACAGCAGGACAACAACAATTCTGAAACATGGTTTTGTAGAATCATCTGCAGTTGAACTCAGCACATCCTTTCACTTAGCAATTCCACTCCTAGGCAGGTACTACATTCAGAATATGTATACCAAAAATTGGGTTATTCACATAACTAGTACTAAACAGGAGAAACTGAGAAACAATTCAAATGTACACCAACAGAGAGCAAAGAAATAACATGTTATATTGGCAAAATTGAATGTTTTGCAACAGTAAGAATGAAGAAAATGAATGTATACCAGAACAAGAACATGGATGAATCTCACAGATCCAATGTTCACGGGCAGAAGCTACACATGAGAGTATACTGTATAATTCTATTTATATAAAATAACAAAAAGGCAAAGTTAATTTATAGTGTTTTGAAGAGAGTTAACGACAAGGACAGATATAAGAGTATAGCTGCAATTATTACTCTGCAATCCATATACCCTCAGCTCTCACTCTTCTCAGTTATCCATACACATGAATAGCTTCCTAATTTAGCATCCCAAACTTCTGTCTGAGGGTTTCCCCTACCAAAGTGGCAAATTTAGTTATGCTGGGAGTGTGGGCATATTGGATGATCATTTTATGGAAATGTATTGAGCAGTACACGACTTGTACACTTTACTATATAGAGAGAAATAAAACAGAGATAATAAGAGTGTGGAATCAGGACCAGAATCCATGTCATCTGATTCTCAAGTCAAGTATTCTAGGGAGGGGAAAAAATGAGAGTACATATGTGCTACCATTTCCCCATGTGATTTCCTTACAGGAAATTAGAGGAAATGAAGCTGCAGTTGAAGAGGGACTTCCACTTCCAAAATAGATGAAGAGAGTGGATTAACTCTCCAGCCTGACACAAGGAAAATACTGAACACCAGGCAATGGAGTACAGCAATTCCTGTGAGACAAAAACAAATTAGACTGTCCAGCCTACTGTCTTGACACAGTTTTCAAAAGAGGAGAGAAATTCAGGCAGAGATTTGTGGACCCTGACCTGAGGAAGCCGAACTAAGACTCCAGAGAAAGCAAAGCAGACATAGCATGCAGGACAAAGTACCAAAGCACTGCCAGGAACTCAGAGATCGGCAGAGTCCCCACACGCAGTCAGAGGAGCACAGGTCAGGGCTTATCTGTGATCAAAAGCACCTGAGCCCAGGAAGAGAGAAAGAGGAAAAAGAAAAGTGTCCGCTCCCACAGGCTGGGAAACCTCAAAAAGCACCGGCATCAGGTAGTCTTACGTAAGCCAAGGGGGTAACTAGCCTGAGAAGGTGTACTTCTCCAGTCTCACTGAAGGAAAACTTATTGTGTCCCAGAAAAAAGTACAAAAACATCTATGAAAATAGAAACGTAGGGAGCATTTACTCTTTTTATGGAATAACATGTTGCCCTATTCCAGAATTGAAAATTAAAAAGCCAATTAGATTCTGAAGAACCAAAAAACCAAACAAAGAATATATTAGAACCTAAAATTCATACTATCTAGTATCCAACAAAAATTACTAGTCATGTAAATAAATAGGAAACTATAACAAAATGAAAATATCACTTAAATTAATCCAGTTTTTACAAGGACAAAGAAGATACACAGACAGCAAATAAGCACAACAAAGAACAGTCAACATTATCACTCATTAGAGAAATATAATTACAATCAAACTTAGATACTACTACCTACCTATTAAACTAACTAAACCTAAAATACTGATCATATCACGTGTTGATGAGGATGCAGAGTGATTGGAACTCTTCCACAAGACTGGTTAGAAAGTAAAAATATATAAATACTTTGGAAAACAGTTGAGTTGGCATTTTTTTAAGGTAGTCATCCATATAGTAGATGATCCTGCCATTCCACTCACACGTATTGATCCAAGAGAAAGTAATGCACATGTCTATACAGAGTCTTATACATAAATATTCATAGCAGTATTATTTGTAAAAGTCAAAACTCAAAACAATACAAATTTTCATCAACAACTGAATGGATAAATATGGTATGATACATCCATACAATGGAATATTACTCAGCAAATTAAGCGGATTTAACAATTGACCCATGATACCATGTGGATGAATCACAAAATACATTGGGTAAAAGAAGCCTAATGAACAAAAAGAATTAATACTGTAGGATTCATTTATACAAAATTCTAAGATATGCAACATAATATAGAGAGGGACAGAAAATAGATCAATGACAGCCTGGTGAGTAGACGGGGGATTGATGAGGAGTAGGTGGGAAGAGATTTTAAAAGAGCAAGAGAAAACTTTGAGGGGTGAAGGACATGTTCATCATCATGATCACAGTGACAGTTTATGAGTCTACATGAATATATATGAGCACATATGTCAGAACCTATCAAAATGCATACTCCAAAACATGCAGCTTATTGGTCAATTATAACTCCATGAAGTTTTTCAAAAAAAATGAAAAACAGCAATACATTTTAAAAAGCATACATAATTTTGCTTATTACTCACTTCCGACCTGTGTGTCTGGTCAATCTAACCATCAGCTTGCGAGCCTCCTCTGAGCTAGACTGAGTGTTTTTAACAAACGAAATCGGTTTCTCCAGTCCATGTTTTTCCAAAAGCTCTGATACACTGTAAGTGAAAGAAGAATTAGTTCAGATCTGGCTGCCAAAGAGTCCAATCTAAGAAACTTAAGCAACCAGTAAAACTTAGATGTTCCTGGTTTAAAAAAAATTTTAAATAGTATGACCTAATTTAACAATTAAATAAATTCACAGCCAAAATAAGGTTCATAATTGTATATCAATGCTTATTCTCCCCCAGTGACTTTTATTAGAATACACTTGGGTTAAGTAACATATTAAAAAGGGCATGACTTACCTTTGTATCAAAACTTTTTCTTTTTTTTTTTCAAATTCCCTATACTCTAACAGCATGAAAAAATGTAAAACAGGAGTGGCCCTTAAGTATAGTAGTTTAGATGTCCATATTCCATATTGGAATGCCTGAGTCCCGGCTCTGCTCTCAATTCCAGCTTCCTGCTGATGCACACTGGGAGAATGCAGGCAATGGCTCAAGTGACTGGTTCCCTAACACCCATGTGGGAGTCCTGGACTGAGTTCCCAGCTCCTGGCTTCAGCCTGGCCCAGCCCCACCCATTGTAGGCATCTGGAGAGAAAGAAACTAACACAGAGAAGCCTGATTGATATCCCTTTCTTTCCCTCTCTCTGCCCCTCAAATAAGAAAAATAAATAATAATAACTTTTAAAAATATTTTTAAAGTCCCTTAATTTGAATGAACAAAATTTCTAATTGCTACACTCAAAATCATTATACTTTACTAAACATGCTACCACTACTAAAGTGTAATAATCACCTGTAAGAACAAAGCTTGTTATTATAAAAACTTTGTTGAGAACACAATACTTTTAAATTATACAAATATACTTACCCATTAAAAAAATACTAGTCAACAACCGCAAACTTTCTAAATGGCAGATTAAGAATATTTTCATCTCCAGAAGAGATCAGCATTTCATTTTCACAGTAAAGCATATTACTACAGAATTACCTGAAGGCTCTTGCATAATTTTACATAAACCAAATAGTTAATCAAATGTTCTATGTGCCCCAAAAATATTACAAGAACAACAAATACTGTCTGTGGGTAGCTGCAATCACTGCAGCAGAAAATAGCATTTCGTGTGTGCCCAGTATGTGTGCGAGGCTAAAATGCGTAATTTAATATGAATTCCAAAATCTCACGAGTTAGATATCACAGATAAGAAAACCCTCAGCTAAAAGACCACACAGCTAGTAAACGATATCTAAATTAGAGCACAGGTTTATCAGTATTCAAAAATCATGTTATTATTCTACCACTCAGCTATTATGAAGTAGCAGAGCCCTTCAAAGAGAATTCAACAAACGTGAGGCCAAAGGGGAAACAATGACCAAACAGGCAGACTTAATGTAGCATTTCTTGGACAGACACCCTTAATCAGCATTGCAACAAAATGGTCATTTTTCTCACCTGAGAATTTGTTCCAATTGGTCTACCATGTCATGAAGAGTTGTGGTGACCTCTGTCTCATGACTAAAGAATTAAGAGAAATAAATTAAAATTAAGTTTTAGTAAAGAATTTTAAATAAAATAAAAACTCAAATAAGTGGGGGGGGGGGGTGATGTTGCTCTTATTCTTAAGACAGAACAATACCATTCAGCTAAAATGTAGGTTTTATCTCCCAAAATCATTCAGCATTTTTCATAACTCAAGAAATTCAGATTAAAAATATTGGAGTAAAGAAGCTAGCATTGCGGCACAGCGGGTTAAGCCACAGCCTGCAATGCGGGCATCCCATATGAATGCTGTTTCAGTCCCAGCTGCTCCACTTCTGATCCAGCTCCCTGCCTATGCACCTGGGAAAACAATGGAATATGGCCTCCAAGTTCTTGGGGCCCTTGTCACCCACATGGGAGACCTGGATGGAGGCCTCTGGTTTTGGCCTGACCTACCCCAAGTCATCGTGGCCGTTTGGAGAGTGAACCAACGGATGGAAGATCCCAATCTCTGTCTCTCTGTCTCTCTCTCACTTTCTCTCTCTCTGTAACTCTCTCAAATAAATAAAATAAATCCCTAAAAAAATTGGAGTAGAACAATATTATCTGATACAGGTTTATCAGACAAGACTATTTTCTAAGGTACTCTCAGTTCAATTCTGCTTAAAGACAAAAAAAAATGATAAATCAATTGTTAGATTTATCTCTTTAAGATTTGTCTATTTGAAAGGCAGAGTTACAGAGAGAGAGGGACAGACAAAGAGAGAGATCTTCCATCCATCTCCTCAAATCACCACAATGGCCAGAGCTGGGCTGACCTGAAGCCAGCAGCCTTCTCTGGATCCCCCCAAGTGGATGCAGGGGCCCAAGTACTTGGGCCATCTTTGCTGCTTTTCCAAGTGCAACAACAGGAAGCTGGATGAGAAGTGGAGCAGCCGAGACTCAAACCAGCGCCTACATGGGGTGCCAGCACGGCAGAGTGGCTTCACCCGTTACAGCACAGCTCTGGCCCTTGTTACATTTTTGTTGAGAAATAAAACTGTAAAATCATCTTTATCAGCCAATGAAACAGATTAAGAAGAATGGGTCTGCATGTTGGCTTTCTCCTATGCCTGTCTATACCACCTGTGGTGACCTAAGGAGTTTCCAGTAGTTTTCAAAGTCTATAAACTTGGAGGAGTTTGTCCACATAATCATTCCCTGTGCATCAAAGGAATGGCATCTACTTCAATATAAAGGAACCATGGAGAAGGATACCCATCAGATAGACAATCCCAAGCAGGCTATGGTGATAAAAAGCAAATCCTTTCTGAGGAAGTCAGCGGACAGGGGACTAAGAGAAACACCACCATGAAAAATACAAACTAATAAAAATGTGGCTGATAGGGTGGATGAAGTATGGCACAACCTATATACAAGCAGACATAGGGATTTAGCAGGAAAACAGCAACTAACACAAAAATCCTTTTTCATCCTGAGTGATTCCATGTCCCAACCACTCTCAACCAACAATCACTACAGCTGACACTTTCAGGTGCCTTTCAAAAGAATATTTCAACTATATTCCAGCAAGGTCTTGGGAGTTTCATCAATAAGAAGCCCAAATAAAAGCCACAGCCTCCACATGGAAAATTAAGTCCCCTAATTTAAACAAAAACTTCTTTATTTTCTAAAACTGTCAATATTCCCTGGTTTAATCTACTCAACAAGTAGTCAGTGTAACTTGCAAAGATCACAGTATCTTTTTAAACCAATCTTTAGACTTTGGATTACAGAAAGAATTGGATATATTCCACTTAAAGTACTTCAATAGGCCATTCATCAGAGCTAATTCCCATTAACATACTCAATCGAAAATATTCCTAGGGGTATGTTTTTGGCCTAGTGGTTAAAATGCCAGTTACAATGCTCACATCATATACGTGGAGCGTAGGTCTGACACCCAGCTGCAGCTCCTGATTTAGCTTTCTGCCAGCGTGGTCCTTAGAAGGCAGTAGGTCAAGCAATTGAGTTCCTCTCATCCACACAGGAGACCTGGATTGAGTTCCCAGCAGTAAACTGGGTGTCGCTGTGCGCATTTGGGGAGTGAATAACACAAGGGAGCTGTCACTCTACCAATCTGTCTCTCTTACAAATCAATGAATCTTTAAAATCAGAAGTATTTTGAAATTATTACTATGCAGCTGTATGATAAATAGTTTTCATAGGTATTAAAGAATTCCATGGGGCCAACACTATGGCTTAGTGGGCTAACCCTCTGCCTGCGGCGCTAGCATCCCACATGGGCAACGATTCATGTCCCAGCTGCTCCTCTGCTGATCCAGCTCTCTGCTACAGCCTGGGAAGCAGTACAAGATGGCCCAAGTGCTTGGACCTCTGCACTTTTGTAGGGGACCCAGAAGAAGCTCCTGGCTCCTGGCTTCAGAGTAGTCTAGCTCTGACCAGTGCAGCCATTTGGGAAGTGCACCAGTGGATGGAAGATCTGTCCCTCCTCTCTGTCTGTAACTCTACCTCTCAAGTAAATAAATGAAATCTTAAAAAAAAAAAAAAAAAAGATTCCATGTATTTCATCTGTCAATTAGCATTCACAAACATAAACACTAAAGACTATCACAACCAGATGCAATATGCTGCCTAGGTAAGATACACAAAAATTGACTGTTCTTTTCTTAAATGGCAAATACATGCACGCACACACACACAAGGCAAAGTCACAGAAAATGCATATTATGAAAAACTATGCATGGCTTTCAAAAATATTTTGTACCAAAATAATCTTTTAATTCCATTTATACCAAATTCTTGAATTCATATACGCTGTCTCTAAGGTTTGCATTTGGTGAATAATGACTTTAACCACTAAAAATAAGTAACTAATCACTAGAAGTATATACACTGACAAACTTGGCAAAAAGAACAAAGAGAAGTATAGAAAATAGTTTGAGCCTTCTATTTCACTACTGTACTATTTATAATTAAAAGCTACCTAGAAAATTAGAAATGTGAGATAGAATCACTAATGAAATAAAGTAACAGAAAAGCATCAAGCCACTTTGTGTTTACATAAAAAATACACTAGATCAGAAACCATTCATCAGAGCTAAGAAAAATTTTCAAACATACATACCTGAGGCATTTCTTAGCCTACATATACTTCAGAAACTAATATACCTAAATGTAGTGTCTACCAAAACAAAGTTATTTTAATATCACTTTTCTATAGATACCATGAGCATCTTCTCAGAGTAGGGAAATAATTGTATAAAAATTGGGGCCAGCACTGTGGCATACAATTCCACATGGGCGCTGGTTCGAGTCCCGGCTGCTCCACTTCTGATCAAGCTCTCTTCTCTGGCCTGGGAAAGCAGTAGAAGATGGCCCAAGTTCTTAGTTCCCTGCACCCATGTGGGAGACCTGGAAGAAGCTCCTGGCTCTTGGCTTCAGATTGGCACAGCTCCAGCCATTGCAGCCAACTGGGGAGTGAGCCAGCAGATGGAAGACCTCTCTCTCTCTCTCTCTCTCTCTCTCTCTGCCTCTCCTCTCTGTGTAATTCTGACTTTCAAATAAATAAATCTTTAAAAAATTTGAAAAGCTCTAAATGTAATGTATATGAGAAAAATTGACATTTTGAGGTTTGAATATTGTTTATAGCCCTTGTCTATACTCCTGAGGAGCAGTGGTTTTTCTACACTTGTTTTATTTTTTATTTAGTGAAGGGTTACATATATGATTATAAAGTAAATTGAAAGTATGTCACTGCAAAAATTAAAAGAAAAATAAGAAAAGAAGGAGAGGGGTTGCTGGGTACAAGGAAGGGAGGGTGGGAAGCATTATGTCCTTAAAACTGTGTATATGAAATACAGGAAATTTTTGTTCTTTTTACATAAAGAAAAAATTTTAAATTGATAACTGATATTAATGCCATTTGATTTATTTGAAAAACAAAATTCACTGTGTTTATCTTAAAACACTACACACATGAATTAGAACACAATGAGTTGGCTTCACTGATTAGGAACAAGAGGAAGCGTAGAGCTGCTCATCTGACCCACTGAGGAAGAAACGCCTCACCACGTCCCTCTATGGTAGATGCTAAGGAGGGGCTTCTGCATCTGTGCCAACTGGGGAGGAGCAATGAGACTACTGACACCAACACCTCTGGGCTGCACTGGTTAAAATTATGAGTAACGGCATTCTACAACAAAACTGTTAATACAAGGCAGTTTACCTGCCATTTGCTGCCTACTGAAGGCCATGTGTCAGAGGCACACCTGCCATACTCTGCTGCTGCTTACTGAGGATCTCACGTAGCCTGCAGTCACACTGACACATGTCTGAGAAACAGGAAAGGATGTGGAGCGCACTCTGACTTACTTTCCCTACAGGAAGAGCACCAAGTCCAGACTGGGCAAAGGGAGACATGAAGCACTACTACAAACTCCAGGTACCTTTACATCAATGTGGTGAGGCACTGATTTCTTCCTAGCGGTCAGTACTTGGAACTTTGATGAGGAAAGATAGGTGATGGGAATCTACAAACTACCTACACATCTGTAACATAATAGCCAAAATCTGATTACAACCTGTCCTCATCCCCCAAAAAATATATCCAAAATGAGATAAGACTAACAACCTAGCTGCAAGCTAAAATGAAAAGGCTTAAACTTGTCCAAACATTTCTGACCATTCTAAACTTATTCAACCAAGGAGGAAAATTGGAAGATTACACATTAAGGAAATTAACTCATGATAAAACATGATTTGAGAGTCTCACCAATATAAATGTCCTCCTCTGACCATTCTACAGTGAGGCACACTTGGAAACAAGCCTACACTCTACAAACACAAGACCTCCAATCACCTATTAGTATCTTCACCATTAATCAATGGTCAAGAACCACTAAACATGGAAGAAAGTCCCTAAGAGTAAAGATAGAAACACAAAACAGAATATGAAAACTCACTGAACAAGGTGGGGTTGGAGCAAATAGAACAGGAGCATATGTATCAATGCATCTGTAAAAGAAGACTAGCAAACAAGAAAATTCTCGTTAAGTGAAAAAGCTTTTGGAATTTAAACTAAAAAGCAAAAACAAGTTTTAAAATTTACAGGACACGTTAGAAGATAAAATTGAAGAAATCTCCAGGATCATTTAACAAAAGACCAAAACACTGAAATAAAATGGCAGTCAATAAATAATAAAGAAGAGCTATAATTAAAGAATCTTGGAGATTGAACATTTGAGTAGCAGGAGTTTGAGGGGGAGAGGTAGGGAAGAAGGGAGTACTAAAAAACTCTGCATGGAAAAAAATATGTAACATTCCGCAACGGTCTAAAGGTGAGCAATGTCCAGACTGGCACACACCACTCACTGAACAACACAATGACTTTAGACTCACAATATAACACTTCTTTACAGTTTTTCAAAACACTGAAAAATGGGGAGAAGATGTTAAAATCTTCTAAGTAGGAAAAATGCCATATGAAAACACACAGTTCAGCATGGCACTGGACTTATCAGCAATGCTACAGATGAGAGTAACGTCTTCCAGAAACACAGGAAAACGGTGTGAGAGAGAAACCTGGAATTCCACATTCAAGTGTACTCCCCATAGTGTGTGGAAAATAGAAATGGAAGAGAAGTCTTTTCTGGCATGAACAATTCGAAATCCATAAATTTTTCATAATACAAATTTCCTATGAACTTTAAAAAAAGTTTATTTTCATCTACTTAACAGGTACAGAAAGCCAAAGAGAGAGATCTCACAGATCTGTCTTGCAACTCTGGCTCATTCCAAAATGCCTACAAGAGCTAGGGCTGTACCAGGTCGAAGCCAGGAGATCCCGATTTCCCCATGGGTGGCAGGGGCCCAAGCACTTGAGCCATCATCTGTCGTCCCCCAGGATGCACTATCAATAACCTGTGCTGGAAGCGTAGGTGCCAGGACTCACATCAGCACCAAGATGAGGAATGCAGGCTTAGCAAGCAGTGGGCCACTCCTCTGTGGCACAACATCTGGTCCCTATCCTTGCACCAAGTGTAAGTGTGACATGTTACAACCAAAAACAAAAAACAAATCTTCCTCTCCAAACTTTGACAGAAGGCTCCTTGAGGTTATGATCCATCAAAATGAAGGAGAAATAAAAGAAGGAATCTAAGAAATGCAGTATGTAATACAAGAGGCAAAAAAAAAGAAAAAAAAAAAAACCAAGATGACAATCATGGAGCAGACACAGAAAACAATTTCTTAATACTAAAGTGAGAAAAAAGTAATTTCCAGAACAAAATTGCCAAAGAAAAACAAGGAACAAAGGAGACAAAGAATACTTGGGAATAAGAAAAAAAAAATCTGAGAGACTGCTAAATATTGCTGATCACTGAAAGGAGCGCTATGATTCTGGCACAAGCACAAGGGATGGGCCAATGTTGTGGCAGTGTTGCATAATACAACCATTCCACATGAGCTCCAGCTCAACTGGCCTCTACTCCACTTTCAATTCAGGTCACAGCTAATATGTCTGGGAAAACAGGGGAGAATGGCCAAACACTTGGACCCTGCCACCTATATGGGGTACCCAGATGGAATTTCAGGCTCCTAGCTCTGAACAACCCAGCCCTGACCACTGCAGTCATTTAAGGAGTGACCCAGTGGGTCAAAGATGCCTCCCCGTCATTCTCTTTCTCACCCTTCCATCCCCAGCAATAATTCTGCCTTTCAAATAAATAATTTTTTTTGAAAAAAAAAAAAAGACACAGAAGGGAGATAAATAAAATAAAACAACAAAAACGAAGTAGTTAATCCAGGGAAAACAGAAATTTGTATGAAAAAGAAACATAAGCATGGTAGATCTGTCTCAGCAATATTTACAGTGAAATTTTGGAAATATTCAAAACAATGGTAGGAGCAGTAGAAATGGGAGAAAGTAAAGGACATCTATAAAAGACCTTAACATCATGAAATTTCAGTTACGAAATTTGCAACATAATGAACGATTTTGGAAAACATCATACTTAGTGAAATAAGCCAGTGACAAAGGGACAAATACATATGTTCTCCCTGATCTTTGACAACTAACAGAGCATCTAAAAGGAAAGTGAAACTGACACTATGAGAAGCAATGATTTGAAAAGCCCTTGGCTTGACTGTCAAGGAACAGTTTACTATTTCATTTTAATTTTTTATCATTTTTTCTACTTAATACCATTGTTGAACTCTTTACTTAACACAGAATTAATCATAGGTATATAAATTCAATTGAAAATAGATCCCAGTAAAAAAATAAAAGTGAGAATAAGAGAAGGAGGAGCTGTGTAGTTCAGCATACCTTCTCACAGATGTATCCTAAAGATAAAAGTAAAAATTTGTCATGGGACTCCAAATCCCATTAAGCTGGGTGGTACTAATGCCATCTTACATGTTAAAGTGATCAATTAAATGTGTAATTGATCATACAGATAATATTAAGTGTCAAAGGGATCACATAAATACAAACAAGTCTCTGGTAACAACAATAGATAGAATTAAAAAAGAGAATGTTCCAACATGGGAAGCAGTACACACAGCAGACGTATAGACAAACACCCTAAACAGCACTCTGACCTCAGAACCAGCCTTTAAGGCATTTGGATCTAGCTGAAAAGACCATGAGAGAATTTAATGGATGGAAAACCAAGACACTGTGGCAAAAAAATGGTCTACATGAAGGATCTCTGTGAGTGAGACCCTAGTGGAAAGAAAGGGCCATCAAATAAGGAGTCACTTTTCTCTGGAGGGAGGAGAGGACTGCTTATGGCCCTGTCTAAATACTGATGGAGTTTGTGAACGCAAACGGATTCCATAGCCTTGGCAGCTCGTGTCAAGAGCCTCAGGTGATCACTGATGTCATAAATAAGAGTGTTAATTGCTAAATCAACAACAGGAGTCACTGTGCACTTACTCCCCATACAGGACCTCTGTCCTTAATGAATTAAACTATGAGAATTAACTGTAAAACTTTTTTCAAACACTACTTTATACTTTCTCTGTGTGTGTGGATGCAAGTTGTTGAAATCTTTACTTATTACAAAGCTGGTCTTCTGTATATAAAGTTAATTAAAAATGAATCTTAAAGAAGAATGGGACAGGAGACAGAGTAGGAGGTAGGACATGAGTGGGAGTGGGAGGGTGGGTATGGAGGGAGGAACCACTATATTCCTAAAGCCATACCTATGAAATCTGTATCCATTAAATGAAAGCTTTCTTAAAAAAAGAAATTTAAAAATAGTTGCTAGAGGAATAGTTTATTACCATATAAATAAATCTGTCCATTACTCTTGGTGGTGATTTCAGTAGCATTAATGACCACAAAATAATTATCTCATAGCAAGTTGCTAAATCAGCAATTGTTACCATTTGTTTCATAAAAATAATTTTTTTCTTAAAAGTAAAAGAAGATTGTGAGTGTGAGGAAAACAATAGAGCAAAGGAAAGAGAAAACAGAGGAAGCCTTCTTGTCTAAATATCTGATTTTGCAAATGAGGAAACTGATAACCAGAAAAATTAAGAGATTTGCTGGTCATGAAGGCTTAGAAACAAGTCTGCTGATTTTGCATTCAGTGTTGTTTCATGTGTTCTTATGAACTTATCCTAATGGGAAATTAGGGGGGATTAAAGTAATGATTGTTACCTGACTTCCAAATGGTAAATATAAATTTGATCTACATATAACTACATAACCCACAAGCATGCTATACAAATTTCCATTTAAACATAAACGCAATAAATAATAAAAGATGTGTATTCAAACATCACTGCTTGAAAGGATTACTTGAGATAATGGTCTAGAACAAATAATTCTTAGAGAAAATAAAATTAGGCCATAAATATAAAATGGCAAATTAAAAACACAACAGGAAACTACTACCTATCTATTTGTTGGCATATCTTTGGATCTTGTGGTGGTGGTATCTTTCTTTTTCAATGCATAATTATCAAGTTTGGTAAAAATATACAACTTAATTATAATTACAGAACTCCCAAACACTAGCAGAAGAACAAAAATTGTTTTTTTTTTGGGGGGGGGGGGGGACAAGATTGCACATGATTTTATTTCCTTCTTTATAATTCTTTCATATTCCCAAAATTCTCTGTAATAACCACTTGGAGAAGCAACGTTTTTGCTTTAATTATAGAATGAGAAGAAATCCGATTCACATATTGTAGATTCTTACCCATATCCTCTTTGTGGAAGACATTCCAATATGTCATAGCAAAGAGAGAGTTGGTCATTTCGTTCACAGTTATAGATGCACTCTAGAGCTACTGCCATCAGTTGGTCCTGGTCAGGAATAATTTTTTGCTGCAGCTAAAAGAAATAAAGAAACTTGCTCTAAATGTCAATAGATGCACAGTTTTCCATATGCCAGCACCTCTGTCAATGAAATATTAAATAGTTCAATTAATCAGCTACAACACAAATCTTGATTTTTCTTTAGCTTACAGACTTTTGGAGTCTTTAATAATTCCAAATGAAATCACATTTAAATTACAGAATCAGCTACAAAAGATAATTTGTAGCCCATAAGCTTTGCTGAAAGCAGATTCTTTAATTCATGACTCATCCAAGATAAAATGGATGAGAAAAACACAGTGAATCAAAAAGATAATTCATTAAAACCATTTCTAACCCCAAAGCCAATTCCATATGTTTCAAATACAAAAATATAAAATTCCTTAACTAATACTCAGACATGTTAGAACCTATTATTTTTCAGTATGCAACAAACGTTAGTCATCTAATTACACAGCTACTTTTATTCTAATCCAAAGAACTCTAATTGTAACACAGTGAAACACACATCACAGAACAAACTACCTATTTCTCATGCAGAAAGATGGCTACTTTGGGTCACCTTCTTTATAGGATACACCATTTCCCACTCAACTACAGATTTCCATTTGTGGAATATTTTCTGGGATACAAAATAACCAATTAGTACCTATTTTTCTTATCTATTACCCAGGGCTACCTCCCATTTTCTTTCTGTGGCTGGTTTACTCAGCAGAAATTTCCTCCAGGTTCATTAACACTGGGGCAAGTGCCAGGCTCTTCATCTCTTTCAGGACTGACTGAATAATATTCATACATGAGTTTATTTATCTATTTGTCCATCTATAGACACCTAGGTTGTTTCCATATCTTGACTATTATGAATACTACAACAACTAACATGAAAGGGTTGGTATCTTTATGAGGTGATAAGCTCATTTCCTTTGGGTATATGACCAAGAAGAGGGTATTGCAAGGTTATATAGTAGTCCTTTTATTCCATATTTTTCAAAATAACTGTCCCAACCTACATTCCTACCAACAGTGTACAGGAAGAGTTCCCTTTTTCCCTCACCAACATGTTATCTTTTGATTTCTGATAATAGCCATTCTAATGCTATGAGGTAGTATCTCTCAGTGGTTTTGATTTGCATTTCTCTGATGATTAATGATATTGATTAATCAATATTTACAACTTGTAAAAACTGCAATGATTAACCTGAGACCCTTTGGTCTTTGCCATCTCAAAGTCCTCAATCAAATCTGTAAAATCCCATTTCGCAGATACAATAATGTTATCACATTAAGATACAAACATCTTTGACGGCCATTACTCTTCCTACCAAATATGCTATATATACTTCAGAGTAAAAATATAATGTACAAAGTAACATGCACACTTAACTATTGAAAGACTAAAGCTATTATTATCAATCAACACTTGAAAAATGCTGGTCCTTAGATCATTTTATCTCTAATCATTAATTCCCCTATAAATTATTGTTTATCTTGCTTTTAACACTATCCATTTTTTCATTACTGATTATATTCTCAATGTGTTTATTTTTTCCTCATATTTACTAAGATTCCTAAGTATAATTCTTTTCCCCCTAATATCCACTTGCTTTTTGAATATAATTTCCTTCTTGATAAGCACAACATTGAAGAACTCTCTCAGAGTGGGTCTATAAATGATAAATTTATCCTTAAAAGTCTTTTTAGGCCAGCACCTCAGCTCACTTGGCTAATCCTCCACCTGCGGCACCGGCACACCGGGTTCTAGTCCCGGTTGGGGCACCGGTTCTGTCCCGGTTGCTCCTCTTCCAGTCCAGCTCTCTGGTGTGGCCCAGGAGTGCAGTGGAAGATGGCCAGGTCCTTGGGCCCTGCACCCGCATGTGAGACCAGGAGGAAGCACCTGGCTCCTGGCTTTGGATCGGCGCAGCGCCGGCCTCAACGCTCAACGCGGCCGTAGCAGCCACTAGGGGGGTGAAGCAACAGAAAAAGGAAGACCTTTCTCTCTCTCTCACTGTCTAACTCTGCCTGCAAAAAAAAAAAGTCTTTTTTAAATGTGGTATATACACACTACAGAATACTATTTAGCCATAAAAAAGAAGAAAACCCCATCTTTGGCAACAAAATAGATGCAACTGCAAAGCATTATGTTTAGTGAAACAAGCCAGTCTCCAAAAGACAAATATCATGTTTTTTCTGATATGGAAACTATTATAGAATACAAAAAAATGAAATGGTCATTTTGGGATAAGAATGTCATTTTTAGCTCATATTTATACTCCTGTGGAACTGTGATCTTCCCACTGTCTACTTGTTGAATATTATGAATAGTGGTGAATTTAAGCCTGTGAATCCAGAGTAGATTAAAAATAGGTTTTTGCCACTGTGGTAAAAAATGTTCTACATGAAGGATCTCTGTGAGTGAGACCCCAGCAAAAAGAAGTGGCCATCAAAGAAGGATGTATTTTTCTTTAAAGAGAGGAGAGAACTTCCACTTTGCTTATGGCCTTGTCAAAATATTGATGGAGTTTGTGGACCCAGAAGGCTTCCATAGCCTAGGCAGCTCATATCAAGAGTCTCAAGTGGTCACTGACATCATACAAAAGAGTGTTAATTGTTAAATTAACAACAGGAGTCACTGTGCAATTCCCATGCAGGACCTCTGTCCTCAGTGAGTTGTATTATGAGAATTAACTGTAAAACTAGTTCTCAAACAGTTTTACGTGCGCACATGTGTGTGCGTGTCTGGAAATTGTTTAAATCTTTACTTACTATATAGTTGGCCTTCTGTATGCAAAGTTAACTGAAAATGAATCTTGGCCAGCGTCGTGGCTCAATAGGCTAATCCTCCGCCTGCGGCACCTGCACCCTGTGTTCTAGTCCCAGTTGCTCCTCTTCCAGTCCAGCTCTCTGCTGTGGCCCGGGAAGGCAGTGGAGGATGACCCAAGTCTTTGGGCCCTGCACCCGCATGGGAAACCAGGAGGAAGCACCTGGCTCCTAGTTTCGGATCGGCGCAGTGTGCCGGCCATAGGGTCCATTTGGGGGATGAACCAACGGAAGGAAGGCCTTTCTGTCTCTCTCTCTCTCTCACTGTCTAACTCTGCCTGTCAAATAAAAAAAAAAAGAAAATGAATCTTAATGGAGAATGGAACTGGGAAGGGGAGAGGGAGGAGGAGAGGGGCAGGAGAGTAGGTAAGAGGACCAATATGGTGGGGAGAATCACTATATTCCTAAAGTTGTAGTTATGAAATTTGTATTCCTTAAAAAATAAATTTAAAAAAATTTTAATTAAAAAAATAAAAAATATATCTGCAAAAATTTATGAAGAAAGGAGAGGGAGGTAGAGGTATTGGGAGGGGAGTGATGGAAGTGTGGCTGCCTTCTTGGAACTGTACCTATGTACTGCATAAAATTATTCTCTTTATATTAATAAAATAAAATGAAATAAAAAATAAGAATAATAATATTTAAAAATTTAAAAATAATTCCTTTTTTGTTAAAATAAATCTTTCTTTAAACTAGTGTTTGAACAATAGTTTAACTGGGTAAAATGTCCTGGCTGGCTAGAAATGCAGCATAATATAGTAGCTGAAATGTTTTGAGGTCACATTACACGGGCCTAGATCTCTGATGGACCAGAGAAAAATTGTATAATGGGAGCAAATTTCCTTTCTCTGCCTTTCTCTTCATTTATGAAACAGAAATAATGATAGTTACATCCTACTGTCATAAAATTTACATAAGCTAATACATTTGAAATATTTCATACAGCACCTATCAAAGAAAAATATTAAGTAAATATTAACTATCACTAGTTAATAGGTAGATAATTAATCTTCCTTGATATTTATAATATATATTTTCTATTATCTTCTGGTATATATTGTTGCTAATAAGAAGTCTACCTTGAGACGAACAATTTTCAATTGAATATAATTTTTATTCACTCCCTGGATGCTTCTAGAATTTTTTCTATATCTTTGGTATCCTTAAATTGTCTTAGGGTACTTCAAAACATGTCCTGGATTTCATTTAACCTCTTGCGCTGTTGCTTTCTTCCGTTCTCTGTGCGTGTGTGTGTGTGTGTGTGTGTGTGACTCTGCCTTCTCTGTCATCATGCCCTTTGAAAAAATAAATAATAGGCCAGCGCCGCAGCTCACTTGACTAATCCTCCGCCTGTGGCACCGGCACCCTGGGTTCTAGTCCAGGTTGGGGCGCTGGATTCTGTCCTGGTTGCTCCTCTTCCAGTCCAGCTCTCTGCTGTGGCCTGGGAAGGCAGTGGAGGATGGCCCAGGTGCTTGTGCCTTGCACCTGCATGGGAGACCAGGAGGAAGCACCTGGCTCCTGGCTTTGGATCGGTGCAGCACAGGCCATAGCGGCCATTTGGGGGGTGAACCAACGGAAAAGGAAGACTTTTCTCTCTGTCTCTTTCTCTCTCACTGTCTAACTCTGCCTGTCAAAAAAAAAAAAAAAAAAAAAAAAAAAAAAAAGAAAGAAAGAAAAAAGAAATCTTTTTTAAATAAATGGCTTTTTCCTAAGATTTATTTATTTATGTGAAAGGCAGAGTAACAGAGAGGCAGAGGGAGGAGGGAGGAGGGAAGAGAGGGAGAGGGAGGGGGAGGTGGAGGGGGGGAGAGAGAGAGAGATACAGGTCTTCCATCCACTGGTTCACTCCCTAAATGGCTGCAATGGCCAGAGCTGGACAATCTGAAGCCAGGAGCCAGGAGCTTCTTCCAGGTCTCCCAAGCAGGTGCAGGGGCTCAAGGACTTGGGCCATCTTCCATTCCTTTCCCAGGCAATTAGCAGAGAGCTGTATTGGAAATGGAGCATCTAACTTGAACTGGCTCCCATATGGGATGCCAGCATTGCAAGTAGTGGCTTTACCCAGTATGCCACAGTGCCAGCCCCAATAATAAATCTTAAAAAAAAAATTGCCCAATGATTATGTATTCAAATATGAACCTCAAAGATTATACCCTACCAAGGCTATTATAAACAGTGAATTACCAATTTCTTATAGGACAGTTAAAGCAATTTTTCCTAACTTGACTTTCTATTATAATCATTAAATAAATTGTCAAATGCATATTCAAAATCCTACCTCCCAGATTCTAATATATTACATCTGTACTGGGCATAGCAAATTCTACTTAAAAATAAATGCTCATAGTTCTGGTGTACAGACATTCAACAAATCGCTAGTTTCAAACACAGAGAACAATGTGAGACGACTGAAGATTTTTCTTCCCAAGTCACCTCTATCATCTCTGCCCAAATTTCCTCACAAGTTTCATGTTTGAAAGGAGGATTCATGCAAAGAATAATGGCTTAAAATCAAAGAAGAGTGCTTTAGGATATTACAAAAAAGGAGAAAAATTTGAGGTACATGAGACAGTTTAAAAAGCACTCGGGCAACCAAGTGCAGTGGTGGCGCAGGAGCCCTTCTTCTAGCCATGACGCTGACCAGTGGCATCACTGGTGCTGAGCATTTGTTCTCCGCTTCCTGGAAAAGATTATTCTCTGCACCATTAACATCAGGTGCCATCGTGAGACTTGCTGTGGCCTGAGAAATGTGAAGAAGTAACTGAACCACGTTTGAGCAAAGCTTTAAGAGCCACTGTGTAGTGACTTGACGTTTTTTCTGTGCCACAAGCCAGAAAAGGAGACTGTTCGTTCTGCTTGAGTCCCCAGCTGAGTAAGACATGGAATACAGCAGAAGCCCAAGCGCAGCTGACGTGACACTGGCGAGAAATGAATGCTCGCTTAGGTAAACTGCCAAGATTTAGAGGTTGGTTGTTCATGCAGTATAACTTAGTCTAAGCTGACAGAGAAATCACTGCTGCTGCTTTATTACTACAAATGCCTTGTGCATATCTCAGGGAAGATCTGGGGTACATTCTTTTTGTAAACAATCAAGTAAAACATAAACAATACTCCCAGCACAATCCTAGTAAAGCAAACTAATACAATGAAGTGATGCAAAGCACTTTAATGAAATCCAGTTTCAATCAATCATTTATTACTGAAATGTATTGAGCCCTTGCCCTCTACTAGGTACCAGGATATCTCTCAATACTATAAAGAGACACAGAGGATATATAGATATATACAGATATATGAAAAGAGGGAGAGACAAAAATGTGAACAAATAATTTCAACATAGTACAATAAATGCTATCATAGAGGCAAAGACTTGTGATAGCACAGATAAGTAAAAAAGGTTCCAGAATAGACAGAATCTTGAAGAACAGAACCTTGAAACACACGCAGGTATTTGGGAAGGGGAAATCACCATCCCAGGCAAAGCAAACAGCCCATAAAACACAAAAGAGCCATACGAGAAGCTGGCAAGGGGAATAGTCAAGCCTACTACATGCATGGAGAGAACTATATCTGACCAGGAGACAGAAAGCACACAACAAAGAAGCATGCAAGCCACTTGAGAGAGCCCAATGTACATGTCCCTGAAGGCAACAGTAAGCCACAGCAAAATTCCAATAGATCATGCCACGATCAAATCTGCGTTACAGGAAGACACAGATACAGAGACTGGGTTGCAAAGGAAGAGCCCATCATCATTGCTCTCTGCTTTGATGTTCACATATTTCAATCACAGCAAATAGTAACAGGCATAGGTTTTATTCAAAGGCACATACTAAATTGTCAAGTAAAAACCACAAAAAGCTGACTGTATACTAAGGATTTAAAGGACTCTGTAAGGAAAAAGAATCACAAATAAGATTACTGGAAAGGATTTAAAGTAATTTCTTTCTTCCTCATAAAACATTCATTTTCAAACTTTCCTGCTTCTCACACAGTATTCTGCTGCCACAAGTAACCCATCTTCAGTTCACATTAAACCATCCCAAATTGGAAACCAGAATAGTAAGTGCAAACTGCTTATGAGAAGATGGAAATTTTTAACCAATGAGCAGATATATTTATGATCGATGACCCTTTTAGAAACCAAAAAATGTCTAGGATTACTAAGCAATACTTCCCGTTCTGTCTTGATTACACAGGTCTGTGAGCACTTACCTTTCTAGATTTCAGATTACTAACAAAGGTTAGTGCAAGGAAACGGATGCAATCAGAACTAGGATTAGAAGAGGCCTTAAACAGCCACCGAAACCCGAAGTTTAAACCTCACTACAAAGTCATTTCCTCAGGTGATTATTCCATTTTGCTTGAGTCTCCGCCAAAGGAAAGAAAACCACTATCCTTGAAATAGCACATTTGATCTACAGCTAAATTAAGAAGATTTTGACAGCACATGAGCATTCAACAAAATGACCTTACCACCAGCAAATCTGAACAACCACTTGAACCCTTTAGAAATACAAAGCTATAAATACAGTAGGCTTAAGGAAATGTAAACTTTACTATGAATAATTACAAAACAGCCTTGTAAGAACTGAAAGATTTTTATAAATATGTTCAAGACAAAACTTAGTCTCTTCCTATGGGTGGCAGCAGGCTACAACATATGGAATCAGAATACGTGGATGAATTTGGTTTCCTTCACACTGAGCAACCCTGGGCAATTACCCAACTGCTCTTTGTCACGATTTCCTCACTAGTGAGATAGGAAAAGTCTCTCCTTCACAGGATGGTCAACCCTTGTGATGCGCTATATGAGAATTTCAATGCCTATCGACTACTAGTCTTCAGAGTAGTACAAAAGCCCAACATGCGGTAGATAGTAAGATAAAAAAGACAGTAAAAATTGTAACATTAACCATAAAAACCTTCAGAATGATTCAATCAAATACGCAAAATAGTATAGGCTTCAAAAAAAAAGTGTGCTATGCCACTGAAATATTATTAAAGAATAAAATAACACCCATTTCCTTTCTGTTTAAAGGAAAAGTACCTGCAAAGCCTATTGTAAAAATATATAAATAAAAACTAATTCTCTGTGGAATAAAGTGCAGAGAATTTTAGGAAGTTAGCTTCTACTTACATCAGGCTTGGAATGCTGAAATATCTTCAGGGGAAATTTTAGGTCTCCTTTAGCTAGAGTTACTAAATATTCTTTTAATAGCTCACTGGCCACACCAGGACACTGTTTCTCACAACGGTGAAGAAAGGGAACCATCCACTGGTAGGCACTTGTCACGTACTTGTCCTCAGGACACTGAAAGTAATTAACCAAAATAAACAGAAAAGCATTCAATTACACTAGTATCTTATTATATGAAACAACAAGTTGTATAGCTTACAGATAATTGGACTAATGTTAAATAGTAAAAGCCCAACACCTTTTAAAACAGACTACTAATACAGACCAACACGCAGCCATAGAACAGATAACCTTCTGCCCAGGGTGAGTAGACCTAACAACAGTCATATCACTTGGCCCACCTCTCAGACCATGATCCATCTGGGGCCCCACACAGCCTTTGCACGGCTCTAGAAGGCAAACACACTGCTACTACTCAGTCATGAGTTCCTCAGAGCAGACAGGGTCTATGCAAAAAGTGTATGTGCAAAGAGAGCTGGAGAGAGACTTCAGACCAACATAAAGAGTGTACAGAAATGGGCACAGGGACACAGACATAAGCAGAGGGTCCCCTAAGAGTATGGTCTCAGCTAAAAGCCCAGGGCCTCCCCTCCTTTTCCTCTTCTTCTTTGTATTGTTCTGCCCCTTTGCATCCACCTTCACAAAACTCCCAAGGACACAGATAAGTTTACTCATTATCCCTCAAATGATTTCTCTGAATTACCCTAGGGAAGCCCTACAAATAACACATTATTTTCACTGGATGGCTGATCAAGAAAAGAACAAGAAAGCAAAGACGGAGAGAAATGGAAGATGGGTAAGAAGGCAAAGATTGTGAGAGGGTGTGGGAAATAGGAAAAATGCAAGAGAGAGAGGAAAGCAGAGTGAAAAGGAAAAGGATCGAAGGAAATAGACAGAAGCTCTCAGTCAGCTGCGACTGCAACCTTCATCGCGCCCACTCCAATGAGGCTGCCAACTGTAAAGGACTAACCAGCATTCTTCGACAGGTGCCCCCTCCACAGCACCAGCATTCCTGCCTCTCTGCTCAGTGGGTGGAACACTGGGAGTAAGAACAAGATGACTGGAGGGTAATTTCAGAATGCCTGGGAAAATTCTCTTACACATTCCACTCCTCAAGTCAGGATGTCTTCTTCATATAACTACCCAGTGCTCTGAACTCTAGTACTGTTTTCTAAGTCCTTGAAATAGAAGTAATTGGGAATTTTAACACAGTAAAATATCGCAAGCAAAGCTAACAGAGGACTGTTTAGTTTAGAAATACACCTAACTGGAAGGAAAGAAAGTTATACAGACGAGTCTAACTAAAGGCAAGCAAGGTACAAAGACAGCCAAAATTGCTTTGTATGTCTTCAGTAATCTGATTTTTTAAACAGTAAAGAAATTGTCCTTTATTTACCAAGTTCTCCAGTTTGAAGGACATCTCTTTTTGGTTTGAGACACATATTAATCAAAACACACATGGAATGCTGGAAAAGAAACTTAAAATAAAACTTACGCTATTCATCAGTAATCTCAGTTTTTCAATGTCTTTCATCTGCTGGAGTTCTTTCAAGGTTAGAGTTAAGTCACAACCGGCTTCATACACCAATGTTTCCAGAGTAACCAAATTATCACACAGAGCCAGCAAGCCAGGAATATTCCGCTCCATTCCGAGTCGAATAAGTGACAGTGCGCAGTCAACCTAAAATTGAAAAGTGACAGTAAATCCCTGAGTATTACATACTTCTCATATATTTTAAAGTAAAAGCCTACAGAACCTAACTTATGAATGACATTATCAGTAACGCATATTTATTATTTATTACAAAAAATTTGAATTCTTTATCAAATATATCAGCATGAAAATGTTACAGAAGAATCAAGAAACCAGAAATATCGAAGAAAGATAACAAGAAAAAGAAAACCATCTTAAATTTATAGAGCATTATAAACAACAGTACAGTCTTATATATACTTCTCTATTTAAATCTATTGATAGGGAAATAAAATCGCATAACTAGTAGTAAAAAATCAAAATGTCAAATTAATTTTATTTCACTGAACCACAGTGCTTCCACAAAAAACGTCTGTTTCCAAGGTTTTCCTTTTATATTCCTGTGCTGTACATATCCTTTCAAAGTGCCTCCCTCATAGAAGGCACTCAATAAATAACTGTGGAATAATTAAGAATAAAAATAGTTTATCTCAATTCAAATACTTAGCCTTCACCAGACAAAAACAAAGGATGATTTTCCTCAACTTGCTCAGTAGATAGGAAGTTAACCCCTACTTCCTTTTTTATTTTTGATTTTTTTTTTTTTTTTTTTTTTACAGGCAGAGTGGATAGTGAGAGAGAGAGACAGAGAGAGAAAGGTCTTCCTTTGCCGTTGGTTCACCCTCCAATGGCCGCCGCAGCCGGCGCGCTGCGGCCGGCGCACCGCACTGATCCGATGGCAGGAGCCAGGAGCCAGGTGCTTTTCCTGGTCTCCCAGGGGTGCAGGGCCCAAGCACCTGGGCCATCCTCCACTGCACTCCCTGGCCACAGCAGAGGGCTGGCCTGGAAGAGGGGCAACCGGGACAGAATCCGGCGCCCCGACCGGGACTAGAACCCGGTGTGCCGGCGCCGCTAGGCGGAGGATTAGCCTAGTGAGCCGCGGCGCCGGCCCGATTATTTATTATTTGAAAGGCAGAGTGACAGAGAGAGAGGGAGAGACAAAGAGAAATTCCTTGAACTCCCCAAATGGCAAAAACATCCAGGACTGCGCAAGGTAGAAGCCAGCAGCCTAGAATTCCCACGGGGGTGGCAGGGACCCAAGCACTTGTGCCACGTTCTATTCCTTTCCTACGTGCATTAACAGGAAGCTGGATAGCAAGCAGTACTCAAACCAGCACTCACTGTGGGATGCTATTGTTGCTGCTGGTGGCTTAATTTGTTGTGCTACAATACTCTGATTTTATTGATTTGGGTCTTTTCTCTTCTTTTTTTAGTTAGTTGGGCAAATGGGGTGTCAGTTTTGTTTAGTTTTTCAAAAAACCTGCTCCACATTTGGCTGATTTTTTGTAATGTATTTCTCTGAAGGGAGGAGAGAACTTCCACTTTGACTAAGACCCTGTCTGAATAAGATCAAAGTCAGCGAACTCAAAAGGCTTCCATAGCCTTGGCAACTCATGACTAAAGCCTAGGGAGATTACTGACGCCATAAACAAGAGTGTCAAATTGTTAAGTCAACAACAGGAGTCACTGTGTACTTACTCCTCATGTGGGATCTGTCCCTAATGCACTGTCCAATGTGAAGTAATGCTATAACTAGTACTGAAACAGTATTTTACACTTTGTGTTTCTATGTGGGTGCAAACTGATGAAATCTTTACTTAATATATACTGAATCGATCTTCTGTATATAAAGATAATTGAAAATGAATCCTGATGTGAATGGAATGGGAGAGGGAGCGGGAGATGGGAGGGGTGCAAGTGGGAGGGAAGTTATGGGGGGGGGGGGGAAGCCATTGTAATCCATAAACTTTACTTTGGAAATTTATATTTACTAAATAAAAGTTAAAATTAAAAAAAAGGCCCATCTACAAGGGAAGCAGGATACACAGCAGACTCATAGAATGGCAGATGTCCTAAATAACACTCTGGCCTCAGAATCAGCCCTTAAGGCATTCGGATCTGGCTGAAGAGCCCATGAGAGTATTTTAGGCATGGAAAACCAAGACACTCTGGCAAAAAAACAAAGAGGACCTAAATGAAATATCTCTGAGAGTGATATCCCAGTGGAAAGAACAGGCCATCAAAGAAGGAGGTACCTTTCTCTGAAGGGAGGAGAGAACTTCCACTTTGACTATGACCTTGTCTAAATAAGATCGAAGTCAGCGAACTCAAAAGGCTTCCATAGCCTTGGCAACTCATGACTAGAGTCTAGGGAGATTACTGACGCCATGAACAAGAGTGTCAAATTGTTAAGTCAACAACAGGAGTCACTGTGTACTTACTCTTCATGTAGGATCTCTGTCCTTAATGCGTTGTCCAATGTGAATTAATGCTATAACTAGTACTGAAACAGTATTTTACACTTTGTGTTTCTCTGTGGGTGCAAACTGATGAAATCTTTACTTAATATATACTAAATCGATTTTCTGTATATAGAGATAATTGAAAATAAATCTTGATGTGAATGGAATGGGAGAGGGAGTGGGAGATGTGAGGGGTGCGGGTGGGAGGGAAGTTATGGGGGGAAAATACATTGTAATCCATAAACTTTACTTTGGAAATTTATATTTACTAAATAAAAGTTTAAAAAAAAAAGGGCTTTTTTTTTTTTTTTTTTTTTTTTTTGGACAGGCAGAGTTAGACAGTGAGAGAGAGAAAGACAGAAAGAAACGTCCTCCCTCCACTGGTTCATCCCCTAAATGGCTGCTACGGCCGGCGCACTGCACCAATCCGAAGCCAGGAGCCAGGTGCTTCCTCCTGGTCTCCCTTGTGGGTGCAGGGCCCAAACACTTGGGCCATCCTCTGCTGCCTTCCTGGGCCACAGCAGAGAGCTGGACTGGAAGAGGAGCAACCGGGACAGAATCTGCTGCCCCAACCAGGACTAGAACCCGGTGTGCCGGCACCACAGGCAGACGATTAGCCTAGTGAGCCAAAGCGCTGACCTAAAATGGGCTTTGAAGAGTCCATGGGTATTAGGTGAGGAAGGAAGATTAAGGGAAAGAGAACAGTGTGGGAACAGAGATGCATGGCATCTTGACAAAGTACACTTAGAGTCACCTGACTGAAAAGGAAACAGGAAGTGAATGATCAGGGACATGGCTGGTGAGGTAGGTAGGGGCCAGATAATAAAGAATACTGTTTGTCAAGAAAAGTAATTTGCAGTTTATCCCAAAATGCAATATGACAAAGGAATTTTCAATGGAGGTATGTCATAAATAGTTACACTTTGGAAAGAATATTTAGCATTTATTGAAGAATGAATGAAATGTGAATGATGAGCTGGAAATGGACTGGATTGAAATAAGCAGACTATCAAGGACAAGCGCAGTCACTGCTGGTAGAGGAATTCTGACAGAAGCACAGGGATTCATCCATTCATCCGTAAGTGGTTCACTCATTTATTCACACTGAGTAAATGTTTGTGAACACTTCATATGTAGCACGCAAACAACAACAAAGAGCTAAACTAAGACGGTGTCACTGAAGACATACAGAAGAATGCTGACGGACAATTAAGAAGATAGAATTTATGCAGCTTGGGCACATCAAATGAGAAGTGTAAGAAGGAGGGGGAGTCTACAACGAGTTTAGGTTTCTGATCTAAACCACGGATATATACATGTTTATGTATGTGGGTGGTACCTCTGTGGGCAATAGGGGGAGTTAGAGAGAGTAGCACATATACAAAAGTAAAAAATTAATTAGATATTGAGTAAGTTGCTTTTTTTTTTGCAATCTTTTTTTAAAAAAAGATTTATTTACTTATTTGAAAGTCAGAGTTACACAGAGAGAGGAGAGGCAGACAGAGAGAAAGGTCTTCCATCCGATGGTTCACTCTCCAATTGGCCGCAACGGCCGGAGCTGCACTGATCCGAAGCCAGGATCCAGGAGCTTCTTCTAGGTCTCCTATGTTGGATGCAGGGGCCCAAGGACTTGGGCCATCTTCTACTGCTTTGCCAGGCCATAGCAGAGAGCTGGATCAAAAGTGGAGCAACTATGTTTCGAACCGGCGCCCATATGGGATGCCGGCGCTTCAGGCCAGGGTGTTAACCCACTGTGCCACAGCGCCGGCCCCACAAGTTGCTTCTTGAGATGCCTACGGGACATCTTAGATGTTCAGCAGTAGGTCCAAAAACAAGAAAACAAAATATGTGGCTGAAGCAATAACATTCTGAGACTGTCAGCATACAAATCACAGGGCAGTACTTGGGGAGAAGGACCTGAATGGGTTCCACCTTCAGGCTCTCTCCAGTGACGGGAACAGTATCCCAGGGATAGTTAACACTTAAGGGAGAAGTCAAAGAATAGGAGCCACAGGAGGAGACTAAAAAGAATGGCTAAGAAGGCACTGACAAGAAAAAACTGGAAGCCTAAGCTAAAGAGATTTCAGGAAAGAGTAGTAAAGATTGTCAAAGAACAAGATGTGAGATAGCAAATCGAGGGAACCTGACATTAAGAAGTGGACTGCTAGCCTCACAGCCTGAAGTTTCAGTACAGTGGGAAGAATACTTAGACTCGGGAATTGAAGAGTAAACAAAAATTGAGAGAGTGGCCACAAAGAACAGAGCAACTATTCCTGAGCTAAGGTACAAGGGGAACAGAAAGCCAAAACAGAAGCCGGGGAGAGTATGGCGCTAATCTTTTGACATTTTTACAAACGTATAATGTAAGGGATTTGAACTTTATGCCCATAGCTGGGGTTGGCAATAACTAAGGAGAGGTTAAATATACAGGACAGAGAAGCGATGAGCGTTAACATGAACCCGAGGAGGGGAGAGGGTAAAATCCAGAGCACAAAAAAAGGGAGGAGCTTTGAACATAAAATGTGTTCCTCTGGGGAGAACTGGAAAGAATAAGTGCAAAAGACAGGAGGTTCTCAATTTTTCAAATAAACACAAAGCAAAATCATCTTCTGAGAATGATGAAGTAGGTGGTGGGTGAAAGGAGGAGGGGAGAAGGGGAAGAGGGACAGCCACACAGCACAAGGC